CCCCCCCCCCCCCCCCCCCCCATCACGGCCCTTCTCCTCCCTCCGCCTTTGCAGATGGCGTCGGCTACCGACTCCCGCTATGGGCAGAAGGAATCCTCCGACCAAAATTTCGACTACATGTTCAAGATCCTCATCATCGGCAACAGCAGCGTAGGGAAAACCTCCTTCCTCTTCCGGTACGCCGACGATTCCTTCACCCCGGCCTTCGTCAGCACCGTCGGCATCGACTTCAAGGTCAAGACCATCTACCGGAACGACAAACGCATCAAGCTGCAGATCTGGGTGAGACCCCCCAGTCCCTATAATCCCCATCTTTAGGGTCTCCCCGTGGTTCCCCACGCTGGGATGGTTGGTGTGGGGCTTCTCCAACGTTTACCGGGGCTGGGGGTGATGGTTGTGGGGTGGGTTGGCTCCTGGACCTCGTTGTCCAGGAGGTGTCCCCACACCAGGATGGTTGTTGGGGTCTCCCCGTGGTTCCCCGCACTGGGATGGTTGATGTGGGGCTTCTCCAACGTTTACCGGGGCTGGGGGTGATGGTTGTGGGGTGGGTTGGCTCCTGGACCTCGTTGTCCAGGGTTGTCCCCATGGGTCCCCACACCAGGATGGTTGGCGTGGGGCTGCTCTGATGTTACCCAGAGCTGGGGGTGATGATGGTGGGGTGGGATGTCTCCCTGAGGACTCAGTTGTCCACGAGATGTCCCCACTGGTGTCCCCACGTCCCTGGGGGTGATGTGCTGATCTCAACCCCCCCCAAACCCAGGACACGGCCGGCCAGGAGCGGTACCGCACCATCACCACCGCCTACTACCGCGGCGCCATGGGCTTCATCCTGATGTACGACATCACCAACGAGGAGTCCTTCAACGCCGTGCAGGACTGGTGAGCACCCCAGGAAGAGCTTCGGGGACCCTCACCCCCCCCTAAACTGTCCCTTCCCCTCCCCTTTTTGGGGCCTCCCCTCCCCATGCCGTGCTCTCTGCCCCTCCACGTGATGATGATGATGATGTCCCCCCCACTTTCTTTGTCCTCCCTGAAGGTCCACCCAGATCAAGACCTACTCCTGGGACAACGCCCAGGTCCTGCTGGTGGGGAACAAGTGTGACATGGAGGATGAGCGCGTGGTCTCCTCGGAGAAGGGCCGCCAGCTCGCCGAGCACCTGGGTGAGTTGAGGAGCTGTCTTCCTACAAATAATTTAATTAGGGGGGGCTTAATTCCCCGGCTGTAATTCTTCTGCTTCAATAGCAGCGGTGACTCGTCACCTAACGAAGAAAAAAACCCAAATGAGGCATAATTAAGCCCCCGGGGTGTGATGGCAGTTTCTGTTACAGCCCCATAAACCTGCCGAGAGGTGGGGAAAATGACGGTGTCACCGCGTGGGTGGGTGTGTGTGTGTGGGGGGGTCTGGTACACGCAGCCCTTTCAATTAATATTTAACGAGGGGAGGAGGAGCCGTGGAAGGTTTCCGATGTTGGGCAGCAGCTGGATGCAGGGTGGCAACGGGGGGGGTGTGTGTGTGGGGTTTGAAGCCCTAATCTCACCCATGTGGTGGTGTTGTGTGTGTGTTGTGTGTGTGTTGTGTGTGTGTTGTGTGTGTGGGTTGTGTGTGGGTTGTGTGTGGGTTGTGTGTGGGTTGTGTGTGGATTTTGTGTGGATTTTGTGTGGGTTTTGTGTGGGTTTTGTGTGGTGTTTTGTGTGTGTTTTGTGTGTGTTTTGTGTGTGTTCTGTGTGGTTTTGTGTGTGTTTTGGTGTGTCCCCCCCCACCTTTTTCTTCCAGGCTTTGAGTTTTTCGAGGCCAGCGCCAAGGACAACATCAACGTGAAGCAGACCTTCGAGCGGCTGGTGGACATCATCTGCGAGAAGATG